GATTAAAAGCAAATGTATGACGGGAAAGATGAAATGATAAATATACGAAAAATATTATAAATCTTGATACATTTACTGGTTTACCAATTATGTACAGTATATCGTTTTCATTAAAGTTTTCATTTGTCAACTAAAATGTGTGTCTAAATTTTCAAGAAATTTATAGATTTTTAAACTTAGTATATAATAGACCGAGTTGGAAGGTGTCCAGTGGTGGAATCCACGAAGAGCCTTTCGTTCTATTTGGGATTCATCAACTAGATGTCCCTGTATCATAGAGTTGATTTTCACTCTGGGAACCAAATTGCGTACTATTCGTTTCAAATACTCTCTCGTTCTCCATTGAACTACTGAATAAAAATAGCCAATGGCTTGTACAATAAAATGAATTTTAATTTATTTATATTGGTTGTTTGAATTTTTCCACTGACGTGTAAAACTGCAATTGATCAGTTTCTTTTTAGGCATGTATACATTTTGAGTGGATAACGTTAATATTACTATAACGTCACAAGCATTAAGACTCAGCAGATAAGTGGATAATATGAAGGTATCTGAAGCGAACTCTACTAGATTCGAGTCACGGAATAAACAAATACATCCAGCTAAAGAGTTCTAAATTAAATGAAACAAGAGTTCTGAATTCCGTAGCTCTCCACTATTCAACACTGCTTATAACACTTCTGACTTATTGGTAAAATTGAGGCGATTCGCACAGGATGCCTATATGACTGATCAATTGCAGTCCAAAACATCAATGAGAACATTCAAACAACTAATACAAACGAAATAACTTTGTACTGTATAGAATAAAAATGTTTCGTATTCATTTTAAAATAATATAAGTTTTGATTGTCAGAAAATTATATATTGTTAAAAATGATATTCTAATGAATTGATTAGTCAGAATTAACACAAAACACAGCACTTCAAATAATCCACATATAAATTAGTACAGTGAAAACTGAAAAAAAGGTATGGAATGAAAAGTGATTTATTCCATTTTGATAGGCTTATTTTACTAATACAGGTACATCCAGCTGATGAGTCCCAAATAGAATGAAACGCGCGTCCTAGATTCCACTGCTAGTTGCTATCCATCTTTACTTAAGAAGCTTATGAATTAAGGTTATATCAAGGGAATCCGCACAAGATGTACATATATCAACAAGAGACTGATCAATTTCAGTCCTAAATAACAATGCCAAGATACAGGTAAACCACACTAAGTGAATATAACTTCACCCCATTGAACAAGCAAGTGGCTATCAGGACTCAGTAGATAAGTGAATAACGCGATGGCGTTTGAAGCGAACGGTACTGGGTTTGGGTCTCAGAGTTAACATCAACTCTGAGATGCAGGTACATCCAGCAGACGAGTAGTAGTTTTATTATAAATAGCCATTTTACCATGTTTTGACATAATCATATTTCACTTAACCAGTATAATGTATTAGGGTTGTTGTTTTTTTTTTTTGAGACAAAACTAATTTATTCAAGTAAAAATAGTATAGATTGCATGGATTACACTATATTTTTTTAACGAAACTGCATTAAGACGCACATCGATTCTAGTACTTTGATTGATTGACTATATAATAGTCAGTTGTCAGAATAAACATCAACACGATACGATCAGAATATTTGATGTTGACAACTTCTGAACTCTATCATTTATCTGTACCGACTTTTACCAAATAAAAAAAATACAGACTGTATATTTACAATTTTTATAGGAAATTAATATTACAAATGAGGCTGATTATCGTAGGAAAAGTAAAAGCCTTCAAAAAGAAACTAACATTATTTATACAAGCCTTATATTGTCTATAGTTAGTTACAAGATTGTATGGGGAAATAAAGATTATTATAGAAAGGGAACATGAGTAATATGAATAAAATCAATTCAAATCCTATTTCTTTTATCTGATAAACATCAAAAAATAATTTTGAATGTAATTTTAGATATGCATCTAGATTACTGGATTCGATAGTGAGTAGTATTGAATGATGCGATTTGAAAACTCAATTCTATATAAACTAAGCCATATCAAACACCAAGAATATTGAAAATAATTTAAAATCAATAATTTATGATTATAAGTTTTATCTTATTTTAGTAAAGTTAGTAAAACCTTTGAGTGACCGACCACAAAGTGACTTTAAGAGTGTCTACCTACTTAATAGAATTAAATAAAGGTTATAATGCAGTTTGAAAAATAAAGACAATCAATTACAATTGGTGATAAGGTTTAGGATTTAGATTTATGGTTTTCATCACGAACTGATATCACCTAAAATGTCAAGACACTATTTGGACGAATAGGTGAGTGAATTTCGCGCCAAAATCTATGACCTGTTATCCTAAATCTGATTGATTCTTCCATAAATTATAGTCTCACCGTAAAGATTACTATTGTAGAATCTTCATATTATTTATTTGTAGATCATGTATAAATTACATAATACCTGTTATCTAATGTAATATAACATATTAATTCAATATTTGAAATTTTATTGTCTGATTCAAATATGAACGTATACTGACATTTTTGTTTTTACAGAAAGTTCATGTTGTAAGAATAAATGAAATTGTACAGATATCCTTAACAAGGTTAGATTTGATGTTTTCAATTAAATTAGATAGAATGTTAATAATAAAATTATGGTACCTCTGTAATATTCTATTTAGTAGAAATTAGAATTTCTGATATTTCATAACTTATTGTAAGCCACTCCTTCAGAATAAATCAATAAATAAATAACATGATTACATTTACACAAGTTTCAGTGACATTCAAATACATGACAGAATATTTACTTTAATCAAAATCGAAATCGATTTGATCATGTCTATATCATGTCAGTTTTGGTCAACGTAACATCATCGTATGTCATTGTGTGTTTGTAAAGTAGGAATTTTGTAATAGAATAAAGTTTGAAACTTATGTGTGTATATGTAGTGTAAGAAATGAGTAGATTTATATATGGCTATTTAGATAAACGATTCAAATTGCATAAATAGTCCGGTTTTCCTATCTATTGAGGCTAGAAGGATTTAGCATGGAATGAAACGACTCAACTGATAACTACCCTTTACAATTAGAAAAACCTTTCTGAATTATTTTACAATTTTTTTTAAAATATTGATTTGGTTGTTGCTAAAAATTGCATGTAATGCTATAGCCAATCTGATTTATAGATTTTCCGGTTCTATGGGAGAACTTTTAGTGTAGTTTATGTATTACGAGATATTAGTTCAAATTTCATGAAAAAGATTCTTTAGTATAGAAAACATCGTAGTTGTCACAATCAAATCTGTAGACTCAATACTGTGCAGATATAAATAGGATCATTTTTTTAATACTTAAACTAATGCATATCAAAAAGTGTTGGTTGTTAAACAAAGACCTAAATTCTGTGTAGTTTCACAATAGATTGCAATTCTTCTATCATAATATGACAGTAAGCTAAAACTAATGTATCAATCAAAGATATATTTCATTTAAATTGATATTTAAAGTGATTGCTTTTCATTTTAACACCTTTAAAAGAATCATTGAACTACAAAACTCTACTGAAAAGATTTAAAATTAGTGATTTTTCTTTACTTTAAGTCAATGTTCAGGATTAAAGTCAATATATTGATTCGAATCTACTGGGTATTAGGTGAATGGTTAAGTTTTGATTTCCGTTAAAAGTTCTTTTGAATGAAACAGTCCCTTAAATTAATCTTTATTTTGATAGTGAACTTGATATAATTTGAGAATGCAGTTGTCATACATTTCATGCGAATAATTTGTAAACAAGTTTTTTGATTGAGATCATGAACCGATTGATGTTAGACCACCATTGGAAACCTGAAAACACTGGACGGCCGTTTCGTCCTGTTGCGGGACTCCCCAGCAATGCGCATCCACTATCAGGATGGCGGGATTCAAACCCAGGGCCTTTAATCTCGCGCGCGAAAGCCTAACCTACTGGACCACTTAGCCGGTATCCAACGATGTTAGTGTCTAACATCAACCAATCCACGAAATCGAGCGACCACCTTCTATTGTACTGAGGTAGATACCTGTCTCTACTCGACACGGATTAGCTCAATCAAAAAGTTTTTTTCCTTTGTTTTATATTTTCATGGTGATGATTTGTTGTTATTATTGTTTAACATATTTTGAAAAAAAGATTGTTGTCGCTAAATGTATACAAAGAGTACTGTAGTTCTGATCTTTTGTTTTATTATTTCTATAATACATATTCATATCAATATGCATTTGATTGATAATGAATATAGACCGGTATTAAATGATGGAAACAATTAGAAGAAAACCAGTTAAAAGGAAACCTGTTAACACTTAAATTTTAAATAGTTTATACTTATTAGGGTTTAAGTTGATATCACTAACTACAATAGATATAGATAATATAAGTGACCCAATTACTATGTTTATGAACATAATGTTATAATGAATGCAAAAGAGAATATTATTGTCATATTCGGCACCTGTTGAGTAATTGGTTTTACTACGTATTTTAATGTTTTATATTCCATTGGTGAATCAGTAAAGTGACTACTTAATGTAAAGTTCAGAGAATTGCTTTGTAAATATTAGTGTTCGTTGAAGTTTAATAATCATCTACAGTAATTCATTGTAATCCGATATAAGGAATCGTTAATACTTCTAAGTATATCATTATATTTGATAGTTTAGCAAACGTCGATTGATTACATTGAAAGCCTCTTAATCAGTTTTGAATTTCAAAAGGCTTTATGTATGTTTTAGGTTTGAAAGCCAGATTATCGGATGTGCTTGAGATTATATGAACTCCTGAATGTATGTACACAACTTACAAAGTGACAACTATCCTGAAAATAGTCATTACTTGAAGTAGGATAATCTATTTTTATTACATAATTAAAGGACTTATTCGTTAGTGAATAAATTAAATGAAAAAGTGAAATATTACAAAATCCAAATAACATTTTTCTTAAAACATACCTTGAAATTCTTTTTGAGCAGCACTAACATTTGTTACAATATTACTAACATGGCCAAGAACAGTTGCCATTAGAAACATTCCAATAACACCTTCGCAAATTAGATAGAAATAGGCTATAGGACATTTTGGTGTTGGAAATCCACCAACAGGAAATAAACTTAACATACTCCAATAAAATGCATGCAAATATTCATATCCATCATGATGATCTGGAGTTAATTGTATTTTATTAAATAAATGCAATTTTGGCGACATTGTTATTAGAGAACCTACATCAGTATTAGCGAATGTTACTGTAGCAGATGTTGTTGTCGAAAAAACGGTTTCATTATCAATATTGCTTAATGAATGATTACTTCTTAGTAGTAAGGAACTACCATTATTTATAACATTGTCACTGAGATTACTACGGTTACTGGTATGATTAATGTTCTGGTTACTGTTATTACGATGACTATTATTAATATTGTTAGTATGGTGGTTGGTGTGGGTAGCGCCCAAGTTTGGAATGTTTGTTCTTGATCCGTCAGTCATAGTTGTTCCTGAGGTTGGCGACTGTGTCAAAGATGTCATGAACAAACTGTCCGCAGTTGAGTTAATCAGCTGAAAAACGCATGCATTCCAATGTAAAAATGTTAAATAATACAATAGTAATTTAGTTGATCGCATTAAATTAGGATAATTTGTATGTCGTTCAGCTCTATCCATAAATTGCCAAAATTTGTACACTTTACATAATCGGAATATACGTAAAATAGATTTAAAACCAATGGATAAATATAAAAAGTCCAGTGGAAGTAAACTTAAACAATCGATATAAAAACGTGATGAATTTAGGTAGTGTGAACGCATTTTCATTCCATCGAATTGCATAACACCATCTTCTAGGAAACCAGTTCTTAACGATATAGTCATATCAATTAAATATAACAAATCAGCGAAATAATCTAAAGTTAACCAGAATATAACTGTTTGTTGATTGATCTCATTAAATGCAAACCTATAGATGATAACCCACAAATGATACATAAATACAATGCTGATAACACCACACCATGAATGAACTATACGTCCAGATGGATTAAAATAGAATAACGCACTATTCCAATTAGATTTTCGTAGCATTTGAGATTTGCTCTGTAGTGATGATGGAGTTCTAGATATACTTGTCTTATTGATCCCTTGAATCATGTCATGTTTCTCTTTAGGATCAGAATAAGAATATGGTCCATTGTACAATAATGGGACATTTGGTTGTGTATTTGAATAGTTTTCGCCAGCTAATCGTTGACGTATGTGATTTTGCTTTTCATACGTTGTTATATTTTCATCAGTTTTATCTTCTTTGCATATAAACCAGTTGGATTGTTTAGAATTATCCAGTGTGATTACCGAATCATCAGATGTGCTGACATGTGTATCATCCATTGTAAAGTGCAGTTTTTTCCAATCAAAGTAGATAGTATTCTTACATTTGTAACTCTTTTTCCGTTCATAAACCGCTAAATTGTTTGTAGTTTAAATTTAAAGCTGATTGCGATTATTGGCTAAACAATTTATGTTAAAATGAATAACTACATTAAAATAATAGAGAAAGCTGGGAACTAATTGTGTTTTGTTTCTTTTAAAATCACTGAAATTTTAAACCAATCGTTGTTATTCGGTCATCCTGGAAATAAACTAACTGGGATGTGATTGGCTTCCATTTCGGCTAATCAAAATAGTCAATAATTTAACCATAGTCTTAAGTTCATTATTCATCAGTTGGTTTAGGTCATTTGCTTATGGAATGTTGAATTTCATTGGAATCATGAACTAATCTAAGTTAGAACACCTGGAAACATCAAACTTACGTTTCAGCCAAGTATGTGTACTTGGTTTTTTGTTGTAAAAAATTACAATCATACAATGATATTAGGTTTTCTCAAGGAATTCCAATCATTTCTATAATTATTTCTACTCATAAAATTTATCCATGTAGGCATAAAAATGTTGTCTGAAAGTATTAACTAGTGGTTACTTCTATCTATGAAAAAGAATAGTTAAATTTTACCTGTTTACTATTTAGAGGGGTACAATTGAAACCAACCATTTCGATAAAGTTCATCTGTACCAAAGTTTCATTTTTGTAAAAGGTTACGATTACAGTTTAATATATATTATTTGTGTGATCTGTATGAAATGGTAACAAAGCACATCAGGAAAAAGAAAAGATATTTTGTTCATGATACTGTTATCTAGATATTGTTATCATTACAGTCCAAAATAAAAAAACTATTGAATATCCACAATGTAGAACAAAACAGTGACACTAATTATGTTAGAATTAATAGAGAAGTAAATAATAAACTGAAAACATAAGTAAACCTTTATAGGATCTGTCATAAAATGAGATGTTTGAGAGTTTAAACAACCTTATCTGATTGAAATTAAAAATTACTAGCTTTTTAGATTGATGCTATTCATTTGTTTGACCATGTGAATCAACGTAGCAATCTAGATTTTGCACTATTTCAACATGAGTAATAGATAAACTGACAGAATCGATACATTTTCATAAGTTTATCAAAATGATTGGGTGCACTTATTTTTTGTACCTTAGATACAAAAACAGCAAAATCACTGGAGAAATGCCTTGAAGACGTTTATAATCTATTCTGTAGAGTTTATTCATTTATGTTACTTATAAAAGAAATTCTTTAGACAATGAGAAAATATCCAAAGTAATTTTCCATTAATGAATCAATGAATCCAGGTGATCGGAAGTTAGTGAACTTATATTACCTTCGTCAATATATAACGAATTATGGATTTCCTCAGGGTAAAACGACTTTCAGAATCAATGATGTCACAAAATTATTCTACTGTTTAAACTTATATGCAAGAAGTGAAACATGAAAGACTAAGTTAAAAGCGCTATTTATAACTGGAACGTAAGAGATGCATCACAAGCGAGCTCTCAGTAAGTTGATTATTCAAGTCTTCAATTAATAGAAATTTGCCATTTTCATGAATTTCAAACAGTTGTTCAATCATTGAAAACTTCTATGAGTATACCTTTACACTTTAGAAGCACACTTCAACAAATACTATAGTAGATTATCGTCAAGTTCAATCCTTGGAGTGATCAAGGAAATAGATCCCAGTAGAGTGATGTAATTATTTAAAACACTCTTTATTAATACATATTACTAATATAACTTCTATAACAGTTAAAACTAGTTTTTTTCTTAAATCAAAGAAAGCGTCTAAAGCCTGAAGATGAGTTCATATATGTTAAATGTAAACGTACTTGAGAACTCTGGATACATACCGAAATGTATTTATTTTTAAACTTAGACACATAATTTTGTTTATTTAAAATAGTTGAATGACTAGTAAAGTATCGAATAAGATTACTTTCCATTTTCAAAATGTGAGTTACTTGAGATTGAATAGATTTAGTAATTTAAATTTTTAGGTATAAACATACTGTCACTGATCATAGTTCATTTTCATGTATCTATTATGGAAAAACAGTATCCCATCAGTGAACCTGTTCTAAATTATCTGATGAAGATATATCCTGTGTATTAAAGGATATGTTGACGTTAATATAGTTGAATGTTATAAAGCCGATTGAAACAAATTAAGCCATATATATAGTTATCCGACTGATATTAACTTTTAATTAAGTTCATATCTAAAAATAACTGAAAATTTCTATTTCGATCCGCTTAGAATATAGTTAAACTTGAAAAATCAAAATCGTTAATAAATATATAATTTGGCAATACTGGATAGCCATTTTGTTCTACTATGAAACTCCTCAACAGTGTACATCTATGATCCCACTGAGAAATCCTATACTAAATTGAAACGACTTCGCCTGTAGCTCTTCCAGAGTTACTGCCGGTCCCAAGCCCGGGTAAAGGAGGAGGGTTGGGCATGGGGTTAGCGTCCCCATCTCGTAGAAAACTAACTCGCTAAAAAAACGCTAACCAGAAAAAATAACTCAAACCATTTAAACTCTGCCCTGGGAGTTAGAGGTAATATGACGCTTCATGGTGAAAGCCGAGTTCCTTCGGAAGCCACGAGGCCGATGCCCGTTCTAACAACCAGAGCAACAAGTTTTATAGGTACATCAACTTCATTGATTATGAGAAGGCATTTGACAGTGTAGATAGGAGGACGTTATGGAAACTTCTTCGACACTACGGAGTTCCTGAGAAGATTGTCAACATTATCCGGAACTCATACGATGGACTACAGTGCAAAGTAGTGCATGGAGGACAGCTGACAGACGCATTTCAAGTAAGGACCGGAGTAAGACAAGGCTGTCTACTCTCTCCCTTCCTGTTTCTTCTGGTGGTCGACTGGATTATGAAGACCTCGACATCTGAGGGAAACTACGGCATACGATGGACAGCTCAGAACCAATTAGACGACTTGGACTTCGCAGATGACCTATCCCTCCTATCACATACACACGAACAAATGCAGATAAAGACAGCCAGCATAGCAGCAGTCTCTGCATCAGTAGGCCTCAACATACACAAAGGGAAAACCAAGGTCCTCAAACACAACACGGAGAACAGCAATCCAATCACTCTTGATGGCGAAACTCTGGAAGACGTGGAATCCTTCACATACCTGGGAAGCATCGTCGATAAACAAGGAGGTTCAGATGCAGACGTCAAGGCGAGGATTGGCAAAGCTAGAGCGGCATTCCTTCAACTGAAGAACATATGGAACTCAAAACAACTTTCAACCAATATCAAAGTCAGAATATTCAATACGAACGTCAAGGCAGTTCTACTGTACGGAGCTGAAACTTGGAGAACTACAACAAACACCATCAAGAAGGTACAGGTATTTATTAATAGCTGTCTACGCATGATACTCAACATCCATTGGCCGGATACCATCAGCAACAGCCTTTTGTGGGAGAGAACCAACCAGCTTCCAGCTGAAGAGGAAATTAGGAAAAGACGATGGAAATGGATAGGACATACATTGAGGAAATCATCAAACTGCATTACGAGACAAGCGCTAACTTGGAATCCTGAAGGGAAGCGGAAAAGAGGAAGGCCAAAGAACATATTACGTCGGGAAATAGAAGCAGATATGAAAAGGATGAATAAGAACTGGAAAGAGCTTGAAAGGATTGCCCAGGACAGGGTTGGATGGAGAATGCTGGTGAGTGGCCTATGCTCCTTCATGAGGAGTAGCAGGCGTAAGTAAGTAAGTACCCAGTGTTTCCAAGGTTTCAATGGTTGTCTAGTTTAGATCAATTTGTAAATTCAACTGTAAAAATGCTACAATCTACACAAATTCTCATACTAAAAATAGATAAATTTAAATAGTACAATATTACAAAAACATATTTATTGAAAGCGCATTAATTATGAATGACATTCAAATAGAAGATAATTACAAGGATACAATCTGTTCTTGATTAACATTTACAAAACAAGGATAATATAACAATGAAAATGTATATCCCTATCATATTAAAATACTAATATTAGTCTTTGAAAATGAATATAATGAGAAATTTTTTATTATGGGATAGAAATGTTGCTTTAAGACTAGATATATTTCTAAAAAATAATATCCTTATCAATTTTCTTTAAAAATCAATATTTACTCTTTTAACACAATATAGCTTAAATGATTCTGTACATAAGATCAATATATACCGATCAAATTATCAGTAATAATCAACGTAACAATTTGGGTATTTAAGATTTTATTAGAATAAATATTGTTAAAATGATTTAAATGATTGATCTGTCAATGTCAAGATCATAATTATTATTGATAATGATAAAAGTTTCATTTGATTATTTGTAAATATGATCTCTTCTTTTTAAACTTTAATAAATACATTATAACTAGATTAGATCACATTAATTTTGAGTATTTCAATGACGAACACGCTATTTATTTGTGTTTTAGTTTTATTAAGATAATGTGAATTGTTACCGGCCATATTCATATATATGTAAACGATTTTTGACGTTTTACGTTTATTCGACTTCTAGAAGCATTGCGAAAACTTGGGAGCATTTGCATAATGATCTACTTATAAAAAATACAAGAAACTTTCTTTGGAAACTGGCTGAAAGTAGAGCACATTTATTATTCTCTTAAAAGATTTGCCACGGTTTTGTCAGATTTTTAAAATAAATTTAGAATTTTCGCTTTTTGATAGATTTATGTCAACTGTCAAACGATTCATTCTAAACATATTTTTAGAATGATTTTGTAAAATCAGGTTGTTTTATCATTATGAGGTTGTGGAGATTATTAAGTTTTTGATTGAGATCGTGAACCGATTAAGACCGAAGGCCCTGGGTTCGAATCCCTCAGGCGGGGTCGTGGATGAGCACTGTTTAGAAGTCCCATAATAGGACGAAACGGCCATCCAGTGCTTCTAGGTTTTC